TACATATCATGAGTGGTAAATATTACAGTAAATGAATGTATTTAAGGTTATAAACACAGGCTTTATACAAACATGAAATGATTTGATTTTTCACTTCTTCTTTCACTAAAATACAATGAAATAGTTATTTAAACAATGGCATTGCCTTTATTAGGTGGATTTTAAATACTTTTGCAAATTAAAAATATTTTAAAAGTTTACATTTAGTAAATTTGATTTAATTTTCTTGAAAACATGTGATTAACATTAAATAATATTAGTTTTCAAAAATTGTTATTTATAATTTTTTCACCACTTTCCATTACCTTCTACAACTTTCTATATTAGATATTGTTTTTTCTAAAATTCTCCACTTTCCAAGGGTATATTTAAATATACACCCTTTGACTAGTACTTCCGGAGATTCATTTTCGACCTGGATAAGCATTTTTATTTTTTTCTCCTTTATTCAATTATCAAATTCTTTCAAAAGATATATTTAGCATTTTTTCATAACTCTAAATAATGTGAGATGATTAATTATTTACAATAAACCATATTAAAGTTACTTTAAGAGGAAGATATATATGAACATTGGGCATTCAAGTCCTGTAATGTGACATCAATGGGGATAAGACCTGACTGATGTTAAAGACCACTTAATTATACAATGATACACCGAGTTTATCAAAATCGTTATAGCCGTTTTTGAGAAAATTGTAAAAATGTGTTTCAGCATTGATATAAAGTGGCACTTCCGGTTATCCGATTTTAACATAATATTGTAATATACACCTTTATTGGAAGTGAGTGAAAAGAGTTTAATAAATTGATGTTGAACAATTAAAAGGCAAGCTAATCTAGTTCTACTAGTGCAGGGAAAAGAAAATGGCTGCTTAAGAAGGAAAACCGCAAAGAGGAGAGAGACAAAAGTTTTTGTTTTGGCAGGCAGTTGTTGTGTGACGGCAGTGAAGAGAGCATAGGAGAAGGGATCCTGGGTAAAACTCAGTATTAGTATTACCATCTTGGAAGTTGTTGTTAGGCAGAGAGACTAATTGTTTGGAAATACATGAGAGAGGATCTCCCAGGGAGCTTGAGTTGAGTAGAAGAAAGTATTACCATCTTGGAAGTTGTGTTTGGCAGAACATTGGGAATCATTTGAAGACAAATGAATTTAGTGCAACAAAGGAAGAAAAAATTTAGTGCAACAAAGGAAACAGTATCTATAGAAAAAAGATTAACTTACCAATCCATATTTGACTTCATTTTAAAATCAAATAGTGTTTAGTGTTGTTAATATTAATTTGTCAGAGTGTTTTGATCTGATTATCAGTAATCCGTACCTGAGATAGAATAATTGTAAATTTCAGTTTATTATATTAATATTCTTATAATTTTGTTTTTTATTTAACAACCTCCTTTTATTTTGGAAGTATCCCAACGGTATAAAGTGATCTTCCCTTCCATGAGGTTATATTATTATTCTAAAATATAAGAGAGATGTTATAATATATATCACAGGTCATAAAATATCAGCACTTTTCATTTAAGACCTATAACATACTAAATGTTAATTTCATGATTTTTTTTAAAAATCACATCCTTTCCTTCTTAGATGATGTATTGAAAGACAAAAAATATAGAAGAAATCGTCATTATTTAAGTTTTTATTTTGGTTTATTATCTACAAAATCACCAGAGTTAGAGAAACACTTTCCCACATGTTTACAGTAGAAAAGGAAATTCAAAATGGTAGCACAGAAAAAAGTATAAGCCTTGAAAAATGTTTCCAAAATTTTATTCATCACAAGGTTTCATTAAATCTTCAACGACCAAACCAATGGAGTAAAACTTTCTGTGACCTAATTGTTTTTTTTTTTCTCACAAAAGTTTTAATATACTGTTAAAAAATCTGGTTTATGCAACACACAACTTTCACTTACTGCTCTACTTAGAATAGAAATTATTTTCTGGCAATGTTGGGCTATTATAAAATTTTTGAAGTGCATTTTAAGTGGAGCTAAAGCTTAAAGCTTACAGATAACAAATCATTAAGACCATTAAAATTACAAAAGTCTATTTATTATATCGACGGTAGGCAATACAAATCTAGTTTCTACATCTATTTTAATAATTCACATTATTTCAATTCTCTGAGCCTTTCAGCCGACACAGAATGACTAATTCAAATTTCAACATTTTTGAGTAATGTCATTTTAGTGATATTCCTAGTTAGAAAAATTATATCTATACAGAAAGGCTCATATATGTCTAGAAAGATTTAAAAGTACATCTTTCTATATAGTATGACAGTTTTTTGCCGTAATGTCTCCTGAGCTGGATTTTGATGAATGAGGTATCAAACAAAAGGGTATTAAATGGAGCAGTGACGAATGATAGTAACATCCACCCGAAATTTCAGGAAAAAAGTTATGAATGAAAAGAAACTTTAATTGTGAATTACTTAAAAAATATGCATTTTTTTCTTCTGCTGATTTTCCTACAAAACGAAAAAAACAGGGAAATCGGACCATTATTTACAAAACAAAGATACAGCCTATTGTAATTTATGTATTATTGCTTCTAATATTGTTTTCAAAGCTGTGTTATAAAATATTTCTTATCATTTTTACAAGTACCGTTTTTGGAAACTACTTTTATTTTTATGAAGTAAAGGATAACTCTGAAAATTTTTAAGATTAAGTAACAGCCTTTTAAAGCTCCAAAATGTACATTTTTTCAGTTTCCATGTGAGCCCAACCTTATTTATACCTGCGATAGGAAATCTTTATGCTACTGTTGTCATGGATTCTAATTCTTATAAAAATTACGATTTCCAGCCCTCAGTAGATACAAATCGAGTGCACCTGCATTTGAGAAGAATTAAAGATATCAGCCTAGAAAAAACACGAATTGGATACCCAAAGTTAAAAAACACGAAAACCTATTGACAAAGGGGGCATCCCCTGAGTTTTTTTCCTGCATGGTAAATATCACGGTGATGCACATCTAGACTGAGCGTTGTGCCTGTAAAGAACATTGGAGTGAAGTGGAGTTATAAAATAATATTGCTAAAATTTTGAAAAACGACACGAAGATGGCATCAAATTGTTCTTATTTATTAAAAAAAACAACTATATAATAATTTTATCTTTGTAAATGTTAATGTTTTCTATCTTTAAGCTTATGGTTATTTTTTACATAGTATATAGTGTAATATAAATATCGTGTAAGAGCTAAAATGGCCCGCAAGTGGTTGGAAAGTCCCCATCGTTAGAAATAAATACAATATAATTTTTCTCACTCGTGTTTTATTTTGCCATATATTCGTTAGTTTCAATTATCGAACCATCATTTTAAAGATTGTCTAAACACAACCTCCAACATCTCAGAAAAACAAACAAACTTAATTTGGCCATAACAGGAAAAGTATGCAATTTACGGCGGTTCAAATCCATAAATAATTAAAAAATTTCCAACAAAATAAAAAAACTATATATCGAAATCAGACCATTATGAGCAAAGATATAGACTACAGTGCATTGTACAAATGTTTTGGTTTATTTTCATGAATTAACTATTTTAATTCATAAGACCAAGAAAAGAAAAATAAATTCTTCCAACTCATAATATATAGCTCTTCATCTTTCACATAAGTACTATGAAATAGTTTTTTTAATAATGGCATTGCCTTGATTAGGTGGATTTTAAATACTTTCTTTTAAAACTTAAAAAAAAGTTTACATTTAGTTAATAAATTTCATTTAATTTCCTTTAAAACATGCGATTTCCATTAAATAATATTAGTTTTCACAAATTATTAGTTATTTTGTCATTCTCAATTACTTTCTATATGAGATATTATTTTTTCTAAACTTCCCCATTTCCCAATGATATATTATACAATATACCTCCTGACTATTATTTCCAGAAATTCATTTTCGACTTAAATAAACATTTTCTCTTTTATCGCCAATTTTCAGTAATCAAATTCTTTCAAAAGTTATATTTAGCATTTTTTTTTTTTTGTAACTTTTAACAATGAAAGTTAATTATTCAAAATAAACCAAATTAAAGATACTTTAGAGGAAGGAAGAAATGTTGACATTGGGCATTTAATTATATAATGATATTATGATATGATATAAGTTTAACCAAAATCGTTAGCCGTTTTTGAGAAGATAGAATCACTTTATAATCATAAAATGGTGCTGCCCAATTACACTGGGTTGCTAAAAACACAGCATACTTAATAGTCAAATGTGTATGACTGTTGATATTAAGTGGATCTTTCCATCAGCCGACTTTAAGGTAAAATTGGTGTAATAACTCAGTCATATGCCTATCTTAAATATGTATATCAGTTTTGAATGACTTTTCATTTTTGAGCTAGACTGTTGAAGCGCATTTGTATCTATTATATGGTTTAGGCGATTTAAAGTGGATTTACCCAATGAAAATTTATTCATTATTGAATTATATATAATAATTTGATTTGGATATGCAAACAGAGCAAACTTACCTAAGATTGACAATCTATTTGGAGTACCTCAATACCTAGCCTAACAAACCTATCAACAACTGAATACCACTTTTCAAGTTCTTAAATCATTTGCAAACAAGCAGTTGTTAATCAGGGAATACATACAATACAAGATTTATTTCCTTTCTGATTTATAAATAGGAAATATTGAAAACTTGGTTTGTATTAAAAAGTTAGTTGGTGTGCTTTCATTTTATGGAAGCCAGGGAGCATATTACTAAGCAATAAATTAAATTATTTTTGTTTGTGAGTTATTAATAATATCATAATAATGGTATGCATTTCAAATGATTCAACCAAGCTAAAATCTGATTAAATTGTATGGTCAAAGGACTTTCTTTTTTAAGTAAAGTACACATATAAAATGAATAAAAAATATCAGCGCTTAACACTCGCAAAAATATCTAATTTTATTTTATTATATTATGATGCATCTAATTATATTTGCAAATTATAATGTAATTTAAATGCAACTAACCTTAATTTAGATATATTGCAAGCAAATGATTTGCCATTCCTTTGGTTTGTGACAATAACGAACTCGACCAGATCACCGGGTTGCAAACTAGCTCCATCCTTAACTTCAGACATATGGAAGAACAACTTCTTTCCTTCTTCTGGCTCATACGATAAAAATCCAAATTGCCCTTTGAGAAAAAAAACAAGATAATTTTAGTATTTCTTTATTAAGGTACATTTGTTTATGTATATATAACTTTTTTTGTTATTATAATATAATAAATATCTAGTTTAAATTTAGATGGTTGGTATTAGAGGTTAGGAAGTTAGTCCTGGATGAAGCCACAGTGATACACAAATAAGAATTTTTATTTAAGTCAAGACTATGATGGTGGTCAGAGCATTTTTTTTTTTTTAGTTTCTTTAACAATTGAGTAAATACTTCAAATCTAGATGCTGATACCTTCTTTTTGAGTTTTTAAAAAACTTTAATTTAAAGTGCAAGGATAAAAGGAGATGGTGAAATAGAATTTTTCGGACTATTTATTTTCATTAATTCAAACTTCAAACAAAAATGTCTCGGGCTCTGGTCATTGCATGGAATGTTATGTTTAAAGAATTTTTCGTAAGCAATAGAGAACAAACAACGAATGTTTCTTTAAAATAAGTCGCTTTGGTGCTAATATGGAAGAGAAACAATTACTAGGTAACATTATTTTGGAGTTTGACAATTCAGTGGTATTATTTTCAATTGTATTTTTTTTTTTTTTGACAGATTCAAAAGTTATTTGAAATAAAACCAGAAGGTTCTTGCAATAATCAAATCATAATAAAAGAAATGAACTTGATAAAATATGGAAAGACTAAACCATTCCATTGGCCCTCGGCTCTTGGACTTCTTCCAGGGTGCTGGTTAGTATCCAGGTCTCACAACCATTTATCAGAAATGGCTTTCTTATAGCACTTACCTACCGCCCTTAATAAGAGAATTTTTGGGATATTAATACCCCTTAATCCGATAATCCTTTGATAAGGAGAAGAAATCACTGCTTACACTTGTTATCTACTGGTCAATTTCCGACAGTTTAACATTTATTGAGGTAAATTTAAAACATTTTCATGATAAATTTTTCTTCTAATGGACAAATAAGTGTTTCTAATAAATAAATTAACTGTATTCTTCATTTACCAAACTTAGAAACTATAAAATCTAAATTTTACAATTCAAATTAACTTTCAAACACTTATAATTTTTAAAAAATCTGCCAAGCAAGATCAGAATATTTTCCTCACCGTTTTCGTTACCTAAACAATATCTATATTTCAAGGTCTATAATCTTTGTATGAGAATAAAATCTCTTGAAGTAGCTGTTTTCGGAAATAAAGTAATCCCTTAATATTCGTGGGTTCGATATACACCAGTTTTGTTCATCAGTGAATATAATATGAATGTGGAGGAGTTCAACATTTGTAGATTGCGCAGTTGATGATTAGTGATTAAAAAAAACATCCCATACTTACTGCAAATGCATATCGTTACTGCTAGTGTAAAAGTTTTTTTTTTTAAAATGAGTCTTTTACAGGAGATCATAAAAACTAATAATTTATTAGGATAATTTCATATTTAATTGCCCTCTGCTATTTTCTATATTAACAGACTATCTTTTGTGTGTTTATAGTTAATGAGACAAACATTTATCTTCAGCCAGAATAAAGCTAATTTAAGCTGTAATATAAAAATATGAGAGAAGTTCACACAACTCTGATGTTTAAGAAGAAAATCGAGACCATGGTGAGCTGGTTATGAGAAAACACAATCACAAATAAGACTGTTTTTTGCAAACTAAATTTAAATTTACTGAAAACATGAAATCTAAGTAATAGCAATGTCATGCAAGTAACGTTTGGAATCGACCGAACAATACAGTGTAAATTACTTTTTGAATAAAACCTAAAATTTTATAACCTCATAAAAATACTGTATTAACCTAACCCCCATTCCTTATGATCAATGCATTCCACATTTTCCAGCCATTATATTTTATATTTATACACGCTTTTATATATTTTTATTGTATTCCTAATCATCCTGTAAATATTTATTTGAATTTTATGGACACACCAGAATATTAATATATATTCTGTATTTGTAACTTGTTCTAAAGGGACACTAGTACCAGAATAATAAAATTATTTTCATTCATTCATTATATTGTTCACAGTTATTTATATTAATCTTAATTATAAAATGGAATTTGAAATTGATACTATGCAATTTTTATGCTATTCTCCAAATTTCCTCCATGTTTGGGTCAAATCGAACAAGCCATTTTAAAACTGTAGGCATGTCAAATAATAGGTTTACTGATCCGAAAACAGAAGGTTTTTTTTTTCAAGTAGTCGAAAGAATTAGACAAAATTGATATATACTGATTATCTGTTAACAATCCCTAACTGTCCTCCAAATTTGAACCAAATCAAATGTGCAATTTTAGAGATGTAGACATATCAAGGAAGACACATTTGCGAGTATATAAGAGAAAGTATTGGACAGAATTCAATAAAATGCATACATTATTTATTTTATTTTTTTGCTATTGTCTACCTTTAGTCCAACTTTGAGCCAAATCGAACAAGCAGTTTCTGAAATATTAGCATATTTAAAAAAATATGTTTGTGCGTGCATAAGAAGAAGTCCTGGATTGAAATGAATATAATCGAGATCTAGATACCAATCTGCACAATCCCAGAAAATTTCAAGAAACTCGGATGAATGGGTGTAGGCGATATGCCCATCCCATCAATGTGACTACAGACAGACACTGAACCAAATTTGATCTGTGGTGTCTGAAATGTATAACACTAATGGAAATTTTCGATTCCGAGACAAAATTTTTTATTAACCTCCCGCACGATTACAAAGCCCCTCTACCGTCGGTAATGAGGAAGCAAAAAATCTAATTCTCAATTTTAAATAGAGTAACAGTTTATTCACCAAAGACAACAATTTGGATTTATAAATTAATTTATAAAACTTATAAATTTAAAAAAATAAAATGAAGAATTTTTTAAAAGTAATTTAATTAAGTCGATTTTGTGAAGGTTAACTAAAATAAAATTAATCTTGCCATTTACCTTTGATTGAATCCACATTAGCTTTTTTCTTTTTCCTAACTGCATTGATGTTAACAGCTCTTCCTTCAGAATCAACCTGAAATTGCACAGCATCACCAACCTGGAGCAATTCTCGTTTGTTTGACAGACCAGTTATTCCAAACTCATATTCTTGTCCTTCTTCACCTTCTAAAATAAGAAAACAGTTCACCGTAAAAAAATAAATAAATAAAAAGAACTGAATCTTATATGATTATTAAAGAAGATTGGTTCATTATTCCTTAAATTCATAATATTTAATGAAGATTTAAAATATTCCATAATGTAGGGTAAACGTGCAGTCCTACAGAGGTCATTTTATTTAATCCAAGGAAAAACTAAATAAACAAATAAATAACATTTGATCATTGCCTGAGTTAGTCTTGATGAGACCTGGATACACAGCCTGGTCAGGATTGACTGATCTGAGAGGTCGTACGACTTTTCCTGAGAGTATTTCGGGATTGATAGTGACGCCTGGCCTGATTGAGCCCTTTGGAAGCGGAGCTACGTTTTCAGCTGAAAGACAGGAGCCACCAGAGCTAGCACGAGGACCCACAGTATACTCCACTTCAGATCCTAGCTCTAGCTGTGAGGCATCTCCATCAAAATTGCTATAAAACAAGACAAATAAGATTAACATTTAATTACTGATTAATAAAATAATAAGTGAATTTAGATACACTAAAAGAGATGTTTGATTTAAAAACCGGTTAAATCTGTTTTCCCCCAAGAAAATTCTTTTTTATTTTCTAAGTTTTTAATGCCAAAAATGGAGAAGACTGGAGAGCAATAAATGCTCTGGAATTCCACAAAAGCCATAGACCTTACAATGTCATCTATCCAAGCTATTATCAAATTTTTGAAGTGCATTTTAAACGGAGCTAAAGCTTAAAGCTTACATATAATAAGTCATTAAGACCATTATAATTACAAAATGTTGATTTATTATATCTATTTACTATATTTATTTACTATTTATTATTATATATATATTGTATAAAATTCTAGTTAAATTGGAGTTTGTCATTCTGTCAACCGAAAGGCTCAATATGCCTACAGACGTTTGAAAGTATATATGAACATTTAACCTATAAATGACTATGAATCGTAGGACTATTAGTATTGTTGCACGAAATCGGCCATGGTCTTGCACTTTCAAAGACTAAGAACAACCCGCATATCTGTTGCAAGACCAAGACTGGTAAAAAAAAATCGATTTTTTGAATAAAAATTGAGGCAAAATAGTCACTAATACTTGACTTAGTTACTATATGTAAAGAATTGGTGTAACCAATATACTTTTTCATTTAACTCTTCTAATTTTTCATTCAGATTTAGTTTGGTTTCTCATCTATAAAAAAATAGGCTAATAGGCAACCACACGTATGTTACGTGAGTCTTGTGCAAGACCAAGACTGAGTTTGTAAGACCTAGACTCGTCTCGGTCTCGCATTTGGGCAATACTAACTGTTAGTTATTAAGTTGTTATTTTCCATTTTAAAGTTTACTAAAACAAAATTACGAGATTTTCATTGCCTTGTCATGGATTGGTCAAAAGTTGTCTCACTAATTTAAGTGGATAATGTCGGGATTTCACAAAGGGAAAATTCATCAAATTATTCACCAATTTAATTTTCTAAAAGATTACTTGATGATTTTTTGCAATAAACGTCCTATAGATACCTAATTATTTAAATATAATATCTTATCTAGGGTAAATACTCTATAGTAAATATTTTTGAGGTTATAAACATATCCATGAAATTTTTTATATCTCACCTTCTTCTTTCACACAAGTATTACTAAATAGTATTTTAAACAATGACATTGGCTTGATTCGGTGGATTTTAAATACTTTTTTTTTCAATCTTAGAAAACATTTAAAAGTTTACATTTAGTAAGAAAATTTCATTCAATTTCTTTGGAAACATGTGATTTACGTTAAATAATGTTAGTTTTCAGAATTTATTATTTATATTTTTTTCATCACTCTCTGTTACCTTCTACAACTTTATTTATTAGATATTATTTTTTCTAACATTCTCCGCTTTCCAATGATATACTACACTTATACGTTCTCACTTGTATTTCAGGAGATTCATTGTCGACCTGTATAAGCATTTTTATTTTTTTGTTCTTGATTATCAAATTCTTTCAAAAGTTATATTTAGCATTTTTTTTGTAATTTTAAATAATGAGAGATAGTTGATTATTTAAAATAAACCATATTAAAGGTACTTTAGAAGAAAACATATATGGACATTGGGAATTTAAGCCCTGTAAAATGACATCAATGGGGATAAGACCTGATTGATCTGAAAGACCACTTAATTATACAATGATACACCGAGTTTATCAAAATCGTTAGAGCCGTTTTTGAGAAAATTGTAAAAATGTGTTTCAGCGTTGATATAAAGTGGCACTTCCGGTTATCCGATTTTAACATAAAAGTTTCTGTCACATCCGGCCCATATACAAGCCTTAAATACTTAATATCAGTTTCGTACTACTTTTTGTTTATGAGCTAGACTGTTAACACAAACACACACACAGACGGACCATTTTGCGACACATTGTTATTTGGACTCAGGGGACCTCAAAACATGTATTTCCAATGAAAACTGAGATTCGAAAATTTTCACGATCGCAATACTTACACTTACTATATGTTTCAAATATAGGTAAGTGAAAGTAAAAATGTTTTTGTGAGGAAAAAAGGGTTATAAAAGATATTCTTTGAAATAATGATCTTGATTTAATCATTAACAGCTGTTTCCCAGAATAAAATTAAAAAATCCAGGAGTCATAAATAACTCTTATCTGATAAAAATGTAGATAGTTTTTCATGAAGAAAATGGAAAACGGAAAGGTCAATTTGCATTTTGATTGCCTGAAGTATTTATTAAACAATGAACACTAAGCTGATTCCGATATTCAAGATACTTGACCACTCCACTAAGGTGCATAAAAAAATAATTCTAAAAATGAAAAATTGAAGCTGCTTTATTCAGCTCGGTACTAGTTCACAAGAGTTCCCCACGGATTACGCGTGGTTCACAATCACTTCGATCACACTTGTCCATGGAATCCCGAAAACAGCCGAATGTTGTCATCAGCTATTGCCCCATCACATAATCCCTTTTCATGCATTTTTGAAAAAAAAAAAACTTATTCCCTTCATGAAACTTCATTATTAACAATTTACTAACAAATTGTGTAATTACTAGTTAGTTTAGTTAATTATTAATTTTTACTATGACGGTTATCACTGTGAAAGAAAAGAAAAAAAAAACATAAAACATGTTTCAGTCGTTTCTTCAAGACCTGTTAAAAAAAATGCTTTTAGAAATAACATTTTTATTGACACGTGCTTACATGCAGTGGATGTAAATACACATATACTGTATATTATCTTTTATAACTGTGTATAAAAGATTTTTTCATCATTTGGATAATAAATAATTTGAAGTAATTTATTATCTTTTTATTTTTTATTCGAGTTTTTCAATAGATGTTGGCATAATTGCATTTATAACTTATTTTAGCAAGCCTTTTTTTACTTTATGTCATCTATCTATGTAATTTTTTGGATTTCTAATAATACGAACACCCACTATTTTCTAGTGGGGAGGGGGGAAGGGGAGGAGGGGATGGAGTTCTTTGTATACATATATTGTATGTCATTTGTATGTCTGATTTGAGATTTAGCATCAAGCTTATGTAACTTTTTTCTTAGATATACGGATCCACTATTTTATAGTCGTCCGAGCTTTTTATGAATATAATGTCGGATTTAAAATTGTTCGTCGATTTTTGGATTTCTTAGATATAAGAGTCCACTATTAAGTTGTCAAGGACTCTTTTTATGAAAAATAATGACAAATTAAAGATTTGTGATATATTTATGAATATACTGATAATAAGATAACGAATAATGAAAATCATCAATAAGTAAAATAATATCGTGAAATAGCATTCAGCGATGTAATAACAAAAGATTTTTATCTATTACTATTTCTTTTTTACAGATCTATAATATATGTATAAGTTCAAATTAGGTTTCATGATGTGTAGCCTAAATTTCGAATGTAAGTCGGCTCCTGCTATAGAACTGAACATGGTTAAGGATATAGAAGTACTTAAATGGCGGGAAACTTAATAGTAACTAGCCCAAGAGATCAGTCGCCTTCGTTCTCTTTCGGATAAACCCGAACGCATTCGGGATTCCAGGAACAAGTGTGATCGAGGTGATAGTGAACAATGTCTAATTCGTGTGGAACTCTTGTGAACTACAGTGGCTTAATAATACAGTGCGGTCATATGGATTCGATTTCTGATTGGTTGGCCATCTTGGATCGTCCCTTGCTATCTGCTTGCTCTTTAGGCACCTCAAAACTGTTAAAATTTCATATTTTATTAGCAGTATTTTAGTTCAGAAGCTTAATTTTGTTGTTTAAGTGATAGGTTTAGTTTATTAATAGGTAGTTTTTATTGAATAGTTAAATGTTTTAGTGTTTTCAGTGATTGTTTTGGTTTCTTGTTCAGTGATAGGTTTCATCCGTACAGACTTATTTTATTAGTGATATTTTATTTAAAAGTTTAATTGTGTTGTTTTAGTCATAAATTTAGTTTACTAATAGGTAGTTTTTATTGAATAGTTGTACATTTTAGTGTTTAAAGTGATAGTTAACCTATTCATGTACAGTGATAGGTTTCATCTTCACAGACTCATATTTTATTAGTGATATTTTGTTTGAAAGTTTAATTGTGTTGTTTTAGTAATAGATTTAGTTTATTAATAGGTATTTTTTATTTAATAGCTATATATATTAGTGTTTAAAGTTAAAGTGACAAGTTTGGTTTCTTCTTCGTAGACTTAAAATTGTGAGTATACTTTAATTTTTTTACTTTATTTTATTAATATTCCTTTTTAATTCAGTGGTAATGAAAGAAAAAGATGGAAATCAAGTTTGAAACTTGCTTATATGAAGACAGTGTCTATAGTTCGAGGCTATTAGCTAACACAATTTTTATCTTGAAGTTATTAGTTTCCAGTATAAAATTGAAATTTTGTTTTTCTTTATAGTTATTGTTACTTTCATCATTAAAATATGAGTATCATTTAAGGTCAAGATTATCATTTAAGGATCATCAACTATACTCAATTAACTATGATTAGATCATCAACTATGATTTAAGGATCATCAACTACACTCATATTTTTAATATTGAAAGTAACAATAACTATAAATGAAAACCAAATTTCAATTTTATACTTTAAACCACTGACTTCAAAATACAAATTGTATCAGCTAATAGCCCCAAACTATAAAAATATCTTCTATTATCAAGTTTCAAACTTAATTTCAATCTTTTTCTCTCATAACCACTGAATTACAAAGGAAAATTAATAAAATAAAGTAACAAATTAAAGGATTAAGTCAATTTCGAAACCTATATGAGCCAAATCAACTCAGTTAGAGGTGATTTAAGAGGATTTTTCATAGAGAAAAATGAGTTCTGTTGATGAAGAACACATATTTAATTGTCACAATATTAAATATAGTATTCTTAAGAGGTTTATTGTATTTAGACTTAGGATAAATTCAATAAGTAAAAAGAATTTCCCTCACATGTCTGTTTTTAGCAGTAAATATGTAAATGTATATGTGCAGCATTTATAAATTTAAATTTCTTTGTAAATAAATATTCTGTTTCATCTTTTTTTTTTTTATATTCCTTTGTTGATTAAAAATGTTTTCTTTTTCAAGTTAAATTGGATAGTTCTTCAATCAATTGATAATTTATTGTATTTTATCCTTACAGTTTTATGTTTCACTATTAGTTATTTTTACTTGGTATATCCTGTGTGATAAAATTGAAAATATATTATAGCCAACAATCTCTAATTTCCCAAAAAAGTAATGAAAAATAAATAAAATAAGAGATGCAATATAAAATATCTACATTATGGTAAGAGGTAAACCATTTCATAAAAAATATTTTATATCAATGATCAGAAATGAATCTATACATCGAGGATCAAATTTTGAACTATTTAAAATTTTAATTATAGTGGATTTATAATAGTTAGTGTTGTCCAAAATCAGTCTTGGTGATATACTTTGCAAAATCAAGACTAAGGCCTGCCTAACTTGTAAGACCAAGACCAAGATTGATAAAAAAATCCTTTTTATGAATAAAAATTAAGTTAAAATAGTCAACCTTGAAATAGTTGTAATAGTAAAACTTGAAAAATTTAGTTACCATATGTAAAGAATTGGTGTAACCAATATCCTTTGGAATTTAACTCTCAATTTTTCATTTGGGCATAAGTTTCCCATGTCTGACAAATTACAGTAATATATCTATAATAAGAAGCTGATAGGTAACTGGAAGACTGTTGCGAGACTTGCACAAGACCAAGACACCTCATGGTCTCGCATTTGTGCAACACTAGTTGTGGTATTCAGTCATAAGCAATATAAATAAATTATATTTATTAAATTTACATTAAATAATTTATTTTTATTAAATTTACATTAAATAATTTATATTTATTAAATTTGCATTAAATAATTTATATTTACTAAATTTACATTAAATAATTTGTATTTATTAAATTTAGATTAAATAATTTACATTTATTTAAAGTTTTTTTTTCTAAAGGTGAATATTAAGAAGAAAAATAAAAATAGTTTCATGATTGCTGACTTAGAATTGAGTTTCTGGTTTTCCAATGAAAGTTAATTTTCACTCAGTTTTTGTTTAATGTTTTAATAATTAATTAATTTGTTTGTGAAATTTGCCAATGAGAGAGTAAGATGAATACAATGGAAATCTTAATATGCCGAAGTTTATTGGAATATATTTTAAAAGAAATTAAACAGAAAAAAAAACAAATATTGTTCTTTGATTTTATTATTTATTTTCGCGTGATATAAGTGATTCATATGCTTCATACAGATTGTTCAACTTCAATTCTATCTCCCAAACCATTCTAGTAAATAGTTTGTTGCAATAATTACTTTTTAAATTGAAATAACAAAGACAGACTATTCAAATATTAGTTTCCCGCCGATCCAATATAGTCGTCCCCTCCGTATGACCGCACTGTATTATTAAGCCACTGTATTGTGAACTAGTACCTTCAGCTCCACACAACTATTGATGGTAGGATGGACTATTACATACTAAGGCAGTATGTTGTAACTCTGATTTCACACCTTGTTTACTAACTACTTATTTTCTGTAACACTGATTATAGCCACTCGCCCCTTTCTCGTTAGTTTGTTTACTTGGGTGTCAGAAAGAGCCAACATCTGAGCCTCTCTATAACTACAATAATTCAATACCTATTAACTCATAATAATAACTCTAACTTATAAAAGTTGTTATCCACTCACTAAAGCAACAGAACCTTAACTTGAAACGGCCTTGTCAGTATAGGTCAGATAGTAACAAGTGTTTACTTCAAAACTAATAAAAACCATTTTTAGGCATCCTTGGCATCTTTTGATAACATTAAACCAATTTAACAGTATTTAGCTTAAGATTACTAATCTTTGAATCGCACCTGAAATGGAAAAAGACTTCTGAATCATGTGTATCAGTTTCAATGAATCCATATCCATCTTTTAGAGCTGCGACAAAGCCCTGAAGGACAGGAGATCCATTTGAACTAACCAAACCTCCACCAGATCCACGTACTCCACTCCCAGGACTTGCACGTGACTCAACCCGGACATCTACTGCCATCACCTCTTTAGTCCTTTTAACTTGGCACAAATTAAACTCAACCTAAAAAAATCAACTATATTAAATAATCATTGATGTAACTGTTTCAAGCTTTGAATAGATTAATATCACTTTTTAATAATTGATGACTTGTAGAAACTAGATATCATAATGATGAAGATTGGCAATGGTTTAAAATCAACTTCTGGATAACTAAGTTGACATATATATACTGGATAACATATATTGAAACAATAATATTTATGTAGACTATATCATATAACATTTTCAAATTACCAGGTGTAAACATGATTTGAAATAAAATGGAAAAATTGTTTAATAGGAATTTTACAATTAAGTGATATTAATATTTTCACTTAGATGAGTAAGTGGCTAAATACAATTATAAAATAGAGTAATTAAAAAAACCTAAGAAAGAAAAGTCGAACTCTAGTAGATATCACAATATTTTTTTTTTTTTATACAGCCCATAACCACAGAACTTGTCACAATATATAACATAATTATAAGGGTATGATTGTTTTGCCAAGCAATTTTATAATTCCTTCTTAACAATGTACAAAACGAGTAGAAGTAGGAACTAATGATTATTAGTTTATAATCAAAGAATATAGAAATTGGTAGAACACAAACACTAGTTTTCAAAGAAGTAATTGATCTGATTTCTTGAAACAGAAGCCAGCTAGATATGAAGGCTATATTTAAATATTTATATATCTTAAAATACCTTCATAGTTTAAGAAAAAATGCACTTTATACTTGTATTTAATAAAACTAATACCAAAATATTGTTTTCAATTTTTACCTGTTTTGGAGAGAATTTCCTAAACTGCAGCATCACTATAGAAGAACAAAGCAAATGAACTTAACATTAACTGGTAAAATTGATCTCTTGTTTTTAAAAAAAAGATACAGCTGTTTACTGAAGCAGGGCAAATTAATCAAAAACAATAACTTTTTTCTTTTTCAACATATTTTTGTGTAATTTAGAATCAATTTAATGCAGATAAGCCCACAAAAACTAATTTCTTTTTTTTTTTTAAAGGAATAACATCAGTTTTATTCAAATATGACTAGTATTTGAACAGCAGATGTCAAGAACAGGAAACATATGTTTTCACAAACATGTATAACTTAGAAGTAATAAAATACCCTAATATATTCTTTAAAATATAAATATTTAAAAAGACTGACTTAACATTAATTTAAAAAGTAATTTAAGAAAATATCTGCTGAATATTGAACTTATAACTGTTTCATGAGAGTATATAAACAAATAATAAGTTTCAGTCCTACCAACTTACAACCAGCAATAAAAATTTCAAACATGGAGGCTATAAGCATGGTTTCCACTGTGATCAAGAAGTTCCCTTTATAGGGAAATTCCAAGGTTAAGAGGAGGAAAAAAAGGAAACACTTTATAACAATCAAAGCCTAATCTTAGCACATTTTTAAATAATTTAAGTAAAACAGCCATGTGATTAGTTATATATAATATTAAAGAAAGTTTTTAAGTTCATTATGGGGGGGAGGGGGGAAAGGAGAAAATCAGGCTGACCAAAAGGGAAATTAAAAAAATATATGGTGGTAACGCTGACTAATAAGTTCTCATAACACAATATATTAACCTAATCAAAAAAATGTCTCAATTTAAAACACGTTTAGATTTTAGACAGCAATAAAACTATTATTTAAAAAAATGTATGTACATTTGACTGATCTTTATAACCAAGTTACATAATTTAATTATCAGTTTAAAATAAAATTATAAATAGAACAGCAACGATTGAATTAAGTCCTGGTGGGACATTAAAAAGATATGATGGATTTCAACAACTAACATTATTTTTCTATAAGGTGTGTGATAATTAGAGACCGGATTTCTATGTTATTGCACATTTTATTCGCTATCTATACCCGAATATATATCCGTTTCAGGATCAGTAGAATAATATATTTAATTTTAAATTACATGTTGAGCTGTTCTTGCCTTAAATTGCAAAATTTTGATTTTTGTTGCATCAAATTGCACATTTTTGTACGTTTTGTGCTAGATTAAATTTATAATTTAAGTAAGAAAACTGAGGAAGGTACATGATTTTATGACTCAAAGATTCGAATTTAACGTTACAAAAGTTAGAAGTAAACACAAGAGCAGACAGACTATTCATGGAATAGAACTTGCCTGAAGTAATTCAATAAAAAAACTGCATTTCTTTTGACTTGGATTCTCAATCTTTTTTTCAGTAACCCTTCTGGTTTTGAAGTGAATCATAGACTATCATGAAATCTGCATCAATATCTGATTTGATATTCATAAAATCACATTTGTCAAATTTTTCACAAAAATTAACTTAGTTAGAATCTCAAAATTTGCCACTTAATAAACTAATTGAAATTATAGAAACTGAAAGAGAAAATCTTTAAAAAAATCAAAAGTGAAATATGAATAATGATATCTCAAAAATTTCACTCCGTAATAGAAAAAAATACAGGTTACGACGCTCTTAAAAAAAAGTATAATGATTGCATTATCAACATAAATGTACCATAGACAAGGCACTTACTATAATAGACGAAAATTGGACCTCACCCCTCACTTAAACGCTCCTCATATCTTGAATCCCTTCATCTATGCTGTAAATCAGCCTACCTCACTTTCCAAGGACAATTTTTTAACCAAATCTCCGGGCTAGCAATGGGTAATCCCCTTGCTCCCAACATCTCCAACATCGTTCTAAACGACCTTCTAGACTCTATCATTCCTCTTTACCCAGACGATATCATCTTTATTCGAAAATACGTAGATGATCTCCTCCTAATAATCAATCCAAATAAAATTCCCGATATCCAATCAAATTTTAACTCTTACCACCCCCGCCTCAATTTTACAGTACAACGCGAACTCAATAATTCTCTCCCTTTTCTCGACCTTCTAATCATTAAAAATTCCAATAACATCATATCCACAGACTGGTATACTAAACCAACTTACATCTGGCATACACTAAACATCACTACCACCAAAAAATTAACGTTGCTAAAAATCTCATCCACTGTAGTCTCTCCCTCTCAGATCACCAATTTCATGTTACCAATATCAAATGCATAAAACAGATCCTGTCAAACAATAATTTTCCTCTCCATGTCATTAATTAACAAACTTATAGCAGACCACAATAATCGCTCTTCCTTAATCTTGACTTCCACTAATTCTTCAAAACCCATTCAGGCCTCTATATACAGATCTCTACCTTACATTCCTAACCTTTCTGACAGCATAAACAAAGTTTTACAATCTACTAACCCTAGCTTACAACTTGCATTCAAATCTCACAACACACTTCTAACACTTCAACACACAACACTTGTAACACACCTCAATGGCATGGATCGACTATAAAAAAAGCGTTAGATACTGTACCACACAGTTGGCTAATTGAAATTATAGAAATATATAGAATCCACCTAGGTATAATAAACATCCTATGAAAGCTTATGACATCATGGAGCACTAGAATGACAGTAGGTAGAGGCCACAAAGGTTGTAACACTGAAACAATAAAAATTTGTCGTGGAATTTATCAGGGAGATTCACCAAGCCCACTATGGTTTTGTTTAGCTCTAGCGCCATTAAGTCATATCCTCTGAAGCAGCAAGCTTGGGTACCAATTAAAAGTAGGTGACCAGAGATCCACTATTAGTCACAGTCTATATATGGAAAATCTTAAGTTATATGCAAAAAATAAGGACCAGCTACAATGCATGATGGAACTTATTTCAATGTTCAGTAATTCAACCTGTAAGTCCTTTAGTCTCGAAAAGTGTGCCACACTCAATGTTACTAAAGGGAAAGTTGGGGACAGCGGTTCCTTGCAGCTTCCATCAGAAGAGTTTATGAGACACCAGTCTGCAGGAAAATTTTATAAATACCTAGATATTAAGCAGACTATTAAGATAGCCAAGAAAGAGGTACTTAGTGAAATAATTAGTAAGTTCAAGATAAGGCTGCTTCAGATTCTCAGATTCAATGGTAAAAACCATATAACCAATCTAAATGGTCAAAATCCTTGCCATTAATACATGGGTGATACCATTGGTAGCATACAGTTTTGGTGTAATAAAATGGTTAACTACCTTCAAGAAATGGATCGGCTGATGAGTATAACGATTACAGATGCTAAGATTCATCACTCAAAGGCGTCCATGGCAAGACTCTGCACAGAAAAGAAGGAGGCCATTGCCTTATTTCAATTGAGGTTTCTTGCCGAAAACAAGAAAACTCCGAAAGAACACTTCATGACAAATGCATCTCCAATCATCAGCTGGATGAAAGAATTAGATAAAGGTTACATTGCCCTGAATTTTGGCAATCCGATTCGACCGGAAGGGAGAAATGTTGACTTACAAAATCATATAGAACGAAAAAGAATTACATGGCAGATTTTACCACCAATTACATGAGCCAGAGATTTACAATGCATCAAATCAATATTTGTAAATTTACAATATACAAATCAAAGTCAAACGAATGGTTAAATTCTTAGTCAAATGGTTAAAGTTAGGGCAAATATTTGGCGAGACCGAAGGGTTTTTGTAGCTACTCAGGATCAGGTTATCTTAACCAGGGCTTTATAGGATAAAAATATTAAAAGAAAATCTGGCCACAGATAAATGTCGTCTTTGCTCTAAGACGCATGAATCTACCCAACATGTAATTTAATGGCTGCGATACTTTGCCAGGGACGGCATATCTTATGAGAAATAGTAATGTCGTAAAAATATACCGCTTAAGTATATGCAGACTCAGACTACTGGAGAGTGATGAGGTACTCTACTATTGTTATGCCCCAAAAAAGCTTAAAGAAACTTGAAATATAAAAGTTTTACTAGGATCAAAATATAATTACGGACAGTAGGGTATAGCATTACTGTCTGGATGCCTTGGTTCTAAACAAAATAAATAAAACTGGAAAAATCACATACACAGCAGTACTCCGTGATACCAACATGGTAACCACTAGAATTAAAAAAATATCAAGAACTTACCTTGGAGTTCAAAACGCTGTATCACTTAAAAAAAAGTGGAGGTTACTCCAATAACCAAATCTTCTAATGGTTTAATATTCAAAAGCACAGTAGAGGATTTAGTATAGAACTTGGACTTGATTTGGCGTATTTAAAAGCAGCACAAATATCAGCACTACTCTATGTCTGTAGGATTGTTAGGAAATTCCTAAATAAGTAATTTTTTACTTTTACTTACCTATATATGAAATATATATTATCAAATTTGATTATAAAATATAAATTTTCCAGTCTGACTTTTCAATGGAAATACATGTTTTGAGGTCTCCTGAGTTCAAATAACCAAGTCCTACAAAATGGTCTGTTTCTGTGTATACACACACACACAAAACGAACAAAACAAGGAGGGACAGAGTTAGGAATGAAAGGATACGGGAAGACATGGTCGTGATTGCTTTTAGGGAAATAGTGGAAAAGAGACAGATGGTTGGTCGTCTATGTGTAATGGATGAGGACCATGATCCAAATTTGTTTGGCCAAGAAGCCAGGCATACTGGACGCCGTCCTCGACGAAGACCTAGATTGCTACGGATAGACCACATCTCAAGGATGAGTGAAAAGAAGGGAAAGTTCATGAATTCAACGGAAGAGCTGGCTCAGGATCGGGAAGGTTGGCAGTCCTGGATCAGGACACCTCCACACTGACATATATATAAGGAAGTTGTCAGCGAAAAGGAAAAGAATCTAGCTATGGATGTTTTAATAAATTCAGAACTTGGGAATAGGCTAAGGGTAAGTTGTTTGTCTGTTTTTAGATTCACTGTCTTTGGTTGGAGCTGGATGTGGAGGGTTTCAGAAATGAGTCGTTTGTCATGGCTGAGAACTGAGGCAAGGATGGAAGTTTTGTCTAAATCAAATGTATGATTGGGGGAGAGAGAATGTTCAGATAATTTAAAGGCGGTAAAATTACGAGAGGATACAGAATATTTATGTTGGGTGATGTGGTCTTTTAAAAGATTTTTGGTTTCACCAATATAGAATGAAAAACAATTGGGGGTAGAACACGGAATAGTGTAAACGATATGAGAACATTGTGAGAAATGAGCGTTTTATTATACATTATAATTTGTTTAATACAATTAGAAAACAAATCAATTTATATATAATTACTTAGAAATTCATGCTGAATGAGGTCAAAAAACAGTAATATAAAAAAATAATAAAATTATTTTTTCTCAGTTCCTAGGGCGCATTGGTAAGAATCCTCGGACAGAGGCTAATATTTTTTGACCTAGTATCACCAAAAAAAAAAGGTTTAATTGAAATCGGTGACACCATGTATGTAACACCTCCCCTAGTTAGTAAAAAAACTTACTTTATCTCCAATTCTTGGTAGGCCCTTGAGATCACAGTCTTTGGCATAATAGGAAACCGTTTTCTTCACCGTTGCTCCATTCATATTAGTTGTATATGATATTAAACCAGGTTCTGGACACTTATCATTTGATCCAGTTTTCGATGGTGATGGTCGACTAGACCAAGTTGAAGAAGCTTCTTTTGCGACAACACCACTAATACCACGCTCTAACATAGTTTCAAATTGCACAGTACCAGCAGCAAGGATTTTAATTCTTATTGCAGAATTACGTTGGTTCGCATAAGACGACTGTGGATCCTAAAAAATAAAATTAAAACTTACAAAACAATCATATAAGTTGATATATTTCTGTTAAAGTCTGTATTACACCATAAGCTTGTCAAGGAATATAAAAATTATCATCTTTTTAATTTGATGCTGATGTATCATATAGTACAGTAGTAATATATTCTATTAAGAATTGAAAACAGAACAATTTATTAAGTAATTAGTTCTAAAAAACAAATTTGATGATCAAACAAGTCTACTGTGGCTCATAAAAGTGTTGACATGATAATATAATAAAAAAGAGCAAATAATAAAAAAAATTATTGTCAGAACATAATGATTTCAAAAATAAAGTCTCTCAAAACCCAATAAACAACCAGTCAACTTTCCACTAATTTCAGCATCATCAAGGCAGAAAAGCAAAAGATCATACAAATTCAGACCAACAAAGACAAATGACTGAATGTGTTTAAAATCAATTTCTCATCTAGGTTTAGTATTATTGGAATTCCTCAATAATATCTTAACAAAAAATACAACTTTATAAATCTAACTTATAAATGTGTAATGATGAATAAGTCTAAAACAAAGAAAATAACATAGTTTTAAAGTTAAAAACTTACTTTTGAAAACTTCACATAAAAGTAGGCACTAGTCATATAAGGGAAGTGTTGCTATGTTTAAGGTTATCATTACACTGATGGAAAAAGTGAAGTTGTTTAGATTGAAATGAGAATAAAGAATACAAATCATTCCCAAATGTAAATAAACAAGTATGTCAACACATTGGTGAGTCATTGTATACATCACAGAATGGAAACATGTCCATGTACAAAAGTAGGTTCCAAATATTTTCTTTATTAATTGATGTGTGTCTGTTGATATGACTTTAAAATATTCCATTATAAAACATTTCATGCTTAGTAAACTGGACATAATGTATTACATTAAATCCTAACAATAGATCATACAATGAAAATACAGATAAATAACTTAAGACAGTATCTTTTAGTGCTCAAGCAAATTTTTTTTTATTAAAATAAGAAACAATCCACTAATTACTTCACACGATTAAAAAAATGTATAACAAATCAGAATGTTTTTAAACAAATTAAGATGATATATTTGACAAGGTATGAGTGTAATCTCCCAAGCAAAGCTCCGCCCAGAAGGTTCTTCCTTAAGATAGTTGCCTATTACATTATTTTTGCATAATGTAAGCATAATAAAATGGAGTAAAAGTTAAAACTATTTATTCTATAAAAACAAGCCCTAATTAATAAAATAAAAATATTTTTATCACCTGAATAACAGTGAACTCTACTTCAGTCCCAGCAGTCAACTCAGTGTCGACATCCAGAACTTCAGAATAATGGAAAAACAATCTTACATCCCTTTCGGCACACTTGATGAATCCATAACCTTCCTTTAAAGCAGCAATAGCTCCTTGTTCTCTTCGCTCACCGGAGACAATAAATGATTCAGGAAGTAAAGTAATACCAGTAGCCCTTTGCAAACCATCTCTTCTGTCAGTAGCAATATGAAACTGAACCCAGTCACCATGTCTATTTCGGGGAAAAAAAATCAAATTACAAAAATAACTTGTAAAATTAAAATGAATAAGTAGTTTCAAATATTCTATAACCCTTACCTTAATGTAAATTCACCTTTCTGGTCCTTTTCTCCAAAAGGAACTTCAGTTTCTTGATGATCTTGGCCCCTGTATCTAATACGGCCAGGAAGAGGATCAGTGCTTTGAGCTCTTGGTCCTCTTTCCAGTGGTTTAAGAACTTGCCCTTTAACGATTTCATCACATATATCTTCAAAAATCACTGTTCCTGGCGGAAGCGTTGTAATATTACATGCTACTTCTTTTCCCTGAAATAGACCAAACAATTAAAATACATGCAGTAAACATTAGCCAAATTAAAAATGGAGTTGTAATTATTAAGTATTTGAGAATAAAAACTGTACAATATAGCAACTAAAAAATATATATTTTTTTTAAAATTAAATGAATATTGACTAAATAGGATTTGATACAGAAGGTATGTTATATATTAATAAATAAATAGGATTTAAAAGGAATGCGAAATATTTAGTACTTTATAAAGTACTATATGAGCCTTTCAGTTGACAGAATGATTAACTCCAATTACAACATTTTTGAGTGGTCGTTTTTTTTTTTTTGGTTTCTCCCCTTCCTCGCCTTTATAAGGCTATACAGGTTTTTCCCGGGCCAGGGAGTGTAGGCGGGGATTTAAAAGACGCCCCCGGCACCGGGACGCGAACTCATGACTATATATTGTCAATGTATCATAAATCAGGTTGCCGGGATACGGCGGTGCTGTGCACACACATTAGCCCGTTTGGCCACCCCGCCCACAAATTTATAATACCGTATAGACAGTGAGTAAGTTGATTCCAGAGTAAGTGATTACAGTGTTGAAACATAGAATTGCGAATAATTAAGGTATAAATTTTCTCCTTAGAAATATCATTAAAATCTATATATATAAAAATGAATGTATGTCTGTCTGTCCTTAGTGCATTACTAAACCATTCAACCGATCGCCATGAAACTTTGGGAAGTTGTTCCATACACTCCTGGGAAGGTTTCTGGCATAGTACTTCTGTCTTACGATAATTTTATATATGTAAAAAAAATAAAAATGTAAATGTTTTTCTGTTAAAAGACGCAAAAAATGTGTTGCTATAAACTGTAGCGCCAAAACGGCTTTACCGATTTTAACGAAACTTGGCTAAAGTCTTCCCCTTGAAACCCTTTTAATTTATGTGTATAACATACTTTCCCGAAAACAAGCTGAAAAATGTTACGATGAATTCAATATTTTATTTGACGATAACTAAAAAAGTACACAATTTTTGACTGATAATACCTACATTTATTTGAAAGATTTATGAATCGCTAACAAAATAAAAATAAAAAAATCATCAAAATAAAAAACCTTATCTCGGAAATAAAACTATTTCTAGCGGACGTAGGAGTAAAGTGGGTTAAAGAAAAACTAAGTTGAGATTTGTATTTCGCACCTCGATAAACCCTCAAATACCAATTTTCACTGGAATCGAAAAATAATTTTTTTTTTGCTCAAATTTTCATCAAGGGTGGGACCTTCAATTTTATTTATATTGCTGACATTGCTGACAAAATAAAAAATAAAAATCATCAGTTCGTTGCATAGTTATTGAGTTTTAAACATTTACTGCTTTCTCTTCAGAAAAGGCCATTTACTTTTGCTTCCTCACTACCAAACGTCGGCAAGCATTTTTTTTTTAGTGAATAATCGAAAGTTTTATAATTACTACAGTAATTGAAATTATCATTTGAAGAATTTATATGATTCTCCTTATGTAGGTCAATACTATTATACGTTTTTTTTATTTATTTTTTAATTTAGTTTTATAAGTCCAACTCGGACTGTTTCTGATGATTATGAATGACGGCGTATTCACTCAGATGATTATGAATGTTCAATTTGAATCATGAGAAAAAAACCATTAAAATTAGTTTAAATTGAAGCGATTTTACAGACAAATTTGTTTCCCAACTTTTTAAAAATGACAGATGTCCTTTGCTACTAATCTACTCATATGTGCTTTCTATTTTCTTTCTTTTTCATTTTGCCAGGCTAAGCCACAGCAGCGCGTGGCCGGGTAAAGCTATTAATAATGAAAAAAATGATGAAATTGGTGTTAGTCTTTCTGTCAACTGAAAGGATCATATAAAGCTCAAGACTGTCTGAACACGCTAATTTGAAAAACAAAGAGTCCAATTTCAAAAATTATTTTTTTCAGACTGTTCATTAAGAGAAGATCCTGCATGACTTTATAACATCACCCTATAATCCATAGAAATAAAGCAGTAATCCTATTACATTATATAGATTCAGAAAACTGGAGGCAGTTATTTTAACACAGCTTTTTGCATTAGTATTGTTTGGAACAACAATAAATAAAGCACAGGAGTAAGCATATTGGAGTTAAATCGATAGAGGACTGATTCTCCCATGGACAACTATATATTGTAGGATCATCTAGAAGAAAAACTTAATAATACTATGTATTATTCAAATAAAATATTAATAACAATATAATCAAGTAAACAGATAATCAAGAATGTATCAATTTTATCTAATTCTATCCACTTTTTCCAAAAAAAAATCTGCTTTCAGATCAGAAAATGTATTATTTAACACGCCTATAGTTTGAAAACGGTTCATTCGATTTGGAGGAAATTTGCAGAATAGTATAGAAATTACCTAATATTAATTCCATTTAATAATTAAACTTAATATAAATAATTGTTAACAATATAATTGCTGTGAAATGTGGAAGGCATTTACCATATGGAGTGAGAGTTAGGTTAATATAACATTTTTATGAGATTATAAAATTTTAGGTTTTATTCAAAAAGTTAATTTATACTACATTGGTTGGTCAATTCCAAACATTACTGGCATGACCCTTACTACCATTACTTAGATTTCGTGCGGTTTTCCATTAATTTAAATTAATTGTTCCTCTGAGTTCGTAAAAAAAAAAGCCTTATTTGTGATTGTGTTTATTTATATTAAAGTTCAATCAGCTCGTCATGGTCTCGATTATCTCTTTAAATATCAAAGATGTGTGAACTTTACGCATATTTTTATATTTCAGCATAATTAGTTTTATTCTGACTGAAGAAAAGTATTGGTCTTGTTAACTCTGAAGAAACAAAATGTTTATTTTTTTCTACGGATTTTTCGTTCCATCTATTTTAAGAGTGAAAACATGCCTATTAAGTATATATTGCTACAGTTAAAGGTCATATGTAAAAGTTTTTAATTTGTATTCTATTTTTGACATTATGTAGTCTGCAATTGATATAAGTAGACTACTACTATGGAAAATAGCACCTCCTGGAATGACCGCACTCCCCCAACCAATTCCTTCTCATATTATATTATGGTCAACCATCTCTACATCATAAAATTATACTAGTAAATCATAAAGAAATAATTAGTTTTTATACTCTTCTGTAAAACACTCAATTTTTACATATGACCTTTTGCGCTAACAGTAGCGATGCATGCACTGGAATTACTTTTTTTAAACTACGAATCATCAAATATGCAATCTGAAAATGAGGAACTTTTTCACATTTTATCATTTGCTGATAAATAGCACTCGTGAATATCAAATATATGTTAAGGGATTACTGAATTTCTGAAAACGGCTTCTTTCAGAGATTTTATTCTCATACAAAAAAATTTAGACCTTGTGATATAGATATTTTTTAGCAAATGAAAATTGTGAGGAAGCTATACTGACCTTACTTCGCAAACTTTTTTTTTTGTATGAATACTTATAGAGTAAATGTAACAGTGATATACACTTCAAGAGAAATTTTCATCATTAATATAAACTACAGCTTTAGTGATGAAAGTGGATCTTTAAAAATGGGTTTAATTGAAAGTAAATTTAGTCTTTTATAACATTTTTTTTTTAAACAGTCAATTAATTAATTATTCAAGAAAAACTTAAGGAATTCTGACAGTGTATTTTGTACCAGTGATAAGACACTCATATTTTTGGGGTAAATAGGTTTTTTTTAACATAATAAAAAACAAAATAAATTCTCCAATTTTAAACTAAGAAGTAGCAAACCATAGATGAATGAATAATAATTTCAGAACTTATCTCCTAAAGAAAAGTAATAAGGGAATTTCCTTGAAACAAATTGGAGCTTTGTTTTATTAACGAATCAACTACCAATTGGCTATTTTTCCATTATATCAAATGAGGTTCAGGCACCACCTTCTTAAATGTTCTGCAAATCTACTCATATTTGCATTCTCTTTTTGGTGTATAAAGCTTATAATCTGTTAATGAGTTGAAAACCATATATCACTGGTACATTAACCTTAATTTTAGTAATGATTTTAGTTAATAAATTCATAACACTTAAAATTTAATACATAAGACCATTATCCTTACCTCAAATATTTTAATAAAATATTAATATTCAATAAAACAAAAGGAGTAAGCGGAGGAAGCAGAAACTTCTTAAATCACATAAATATAATGCGTTACAATCAAACAATGAATGCCTAAAGAGATAAGCCAATTCTCTGAACCATACCCACATCATTTATGAATCATGCTTATCAAAATGTGCCTTATGACCAAGAGTGGGTCCTTAATAACTAACTTTTAATAATAATGAATAACAAAGTTATTCATAAGAAAATTAACTAATTTATCTAAGATGTGTTTAAAAAAATAATAATAAAGAAAAATAAATTTTAAAGATACATATGAACGACCCTATGAATTACATCACACAAAAGGTTTATTAAGAAATTGAAAAAAAAAAATGCAGTTTAGACACTTAAAAATGATATAAACATATATAATAATAATAATATTAAAAATATTACTTTCTAGAAAACAATAAATACATATATAAAATAAATTTTAAGTTTGGATAAAAAAAGTAAAATAAAAACAAACTGAATGCTTTTAGATTTAAATACTTGGTAAATACAAGATTTTTTAAATATAAAATATTGTATGAACAATATAATATAAAAGTACATAAATCTATTAACTATCAGGTCTCAATGTTTTTTTTGTTTTTTTCTAACCAATTCCAATGCGTACTTACATTTCTTGTTTGTATTATGAATTCAACATCGTCACCTAACTGAAGTTCCTCTTTGGTTTTAGCTTCAGAAAAATGGAAGAAAATTTCTTTTACAACGTCGGCCCTCTCAATAAACCCAAAACTTTCTTTCATTGAACAGACCACTCCCTGATATTTGACTGGATGAGCAGGATTTTCTAATCTTACATGTGTAGCACCTAAATTTCCCCTGTAAATAAATACCATTTTATACACTTTTATAAAATGGAATAAAAATTCCACAAAACAAAACATTATACTAAACTAAAAATGTAACACAAGACAGATAATAATCCTAAGCTACTGCAAAAACATTTGTAAACTAACCAGTAAATGTTCCACCAGTTCAAACATAATCAGGACAGATAAAAAGAAATAAGATCACATATATGCAAATCAATACAATACATCTCTCTCATCAACAGTCCAAAACAGATGCATTGGCTAAGGCAGCACATTAATTGAGGACATCTAATGGTCCAACAGCCAAGGGACAAAATGGTGAGTTATTCTGTTGATGGTCAAAACATATGGTGACAAGGATGCAATTTTTTGGAATAGCTTGGATGTGAAAATATAAAACTTTCTTGGTTTCCTTCCACAGGCCTTGTTTTTACATACGCTCAATGAGTGCAATACAAGCTCAGCTGCTTTCCGAAGAGAAAGTTGGGAATTATCAAATTGTTTAAAAAGCAGTTAGATTCTAGATAATAGTTCAGATCCACTTGCTTACTGACTTAAGGATCCAAATGGTTGAAAATATTATTCAATAATACCAAACAATATTACTCTTGAAAAAATAAAAATTTATTTGAAAATGTATAATGTAATGCGGATTGAAGTATCACTTATTCATTTGTTACTTATACACATAACAGAGCAAATTGGAGTATAGGTTCCAGAATGCTTGATTCTGAACGTTGTGGGTTCAATTACCACCTAGCTCAGTTAATATTCATTTCTCGGTGGCCTAGAAAATGAATTTTCACATTTATACACTATAGTGGTCAATGTCAAGGTAGCCTCAGCGAAAAAGACAAACCTATCTTAACATATTTCTCTCCGCCTATACACATATGATAAATTTTTGATTACATTAAACTAAATTACACATATGATTTTTTTTTTTTTAAACGGATTGCAGTAAAGTAATTATTAATTACTTAAATTAAATATTTCTTTAGTTATCGGCTTCTATTCAACAAAAAACACGAGTGCCTTAAAAAAACACAAAAATTCAATTTCCTACTTCTCTGTTGAAATTGGCCCATTGTTTATATAAACTTGTTTGTAGGTCTTGAGATTTGCTATCACTCCTATCAAAATTTTCCTCAACTTATAGGATATCCTGTATAATTGCTCTAACTTTTGAAGAATTGAAGATAAAATAATAAATATTTTTGAAGGGACCTTAATGTTTAACAAATTTCTTTCTCTTGTATTTTTCATGGAGTGAAAAGCTTGAGGTAGTCAAATAAAGATAAAAATGTGAAGCAAATCTTTTTCTTCTTTATATATATATATATATATATATATATATATATAATGAAGAGAAGAATAGTTGGGGTGCTCAGTCAAAAAGGAAGGCAAAAAATAAATTATAATATTTATTTTTTACATATGCCGACGTTTCGACCTGAAGTTCAGGCCTTCATCAGGGCTTTCTCCTTAAGTGTCAAGGGGAGAATGAACTTCGATTCTCCCCTTGACACTCAAGGAGAAAGCCTTGATGAAGGCCTGAACTTCAGGTCGAAACGTCGGCATATGTAAAAAATAAATATTATAATTTATTTTTTGCCTTCCTTTTTGACTGAGCACCCCAACTATTCTTCTCTTCATTATCCACGACAGTCAACCAATAACCAATTATATATATATATATATATATATATATATATATATATATATATATAGATATATATATTTATAAAAATTGTCATTATGAATTTTTTTTTCTCAGAATTTACACATAAAATTGTATATACTGGTCTAACTTTTGAAGAATTGAAGATGAAATAATAAAGTGACATGTATTCTTGAAGAAACTTTAATGTTTAACAACTTTCTTTGTCATGCATTTTTTTATAGAATGGAAAGTCTTATTTAGTGTAGTCAAATAAAGATGAAAATGTGAACATTTTTTTTTTTTTTTTTTCAAAATTAGCAAATTATGAGGACATATATCAATATTATATAAGATAGTAGAAAAATAAATATAATCGATCCTGTTGCAAATTTTCTTAACTTTGATTTTATATAGAACATCCTCATTGTTAGGATGCATACTATCCCTGATATAAACAGAAAACCAAAAAAGTGATCTTCTACATGTCTTTGTAAAGGTACCATTTCGGACTTGGTCCACATCCACTTTGAGGTAGTAGACAACCAATATTTTACAGTACAAGTTGGATAGAACATTAAAATACATTGAAATTTTCTTTAAATAGCGCATCATTTTGCCTCTTGGACAACAAACATAAACTATCATAAGTACAAAGATAGGTCTTTTTTGAACTAATGATGAGAGATGAGTTGTATTTGTCATACATAGATCTGATCTTTTTTTTTTTTCTGTCCTCATAATGCCTGAATTCGCAAAAAATTAACTGGTCAGTTGTTCACCTTTAGAATAACGACTAAAGGCTTTAGGTTTAGAATCTTCATACTATATTCTAACTATAATAAATAAGTTTATAACAGTTACAAACCTTGGATTCGTTGCTATTTGAAAACTAACTTTATCTCCAGTTCGGAGACTAACATTGCCTTCGACATCATCTTTATTATAAGGTAAAAAAAAACATTCTCCTCGGTTTTCATAACTTATCCTTCCTTGTGTGTCTCCTCCTGAACCTTCTGATTTCAATTCAGTTGTTACTGTGCCTGTCACCCTTTCCTCACTAAGAACCTAAATGAATAAATTTTATGTTTAACAGAAAGACTTTAATACTAAGGCTTATAAAAAAATAAGCGAAAGTAATAAGTAAATAAAATAATAATGATCAGTCTCTTACTAAAAAAAATGAAAGACTATATTAGCATAATCTAAATAAATGGAATTTTTCAGACTTTTATAACAGTGCATGGCACAGACTCCTTTTAATCAAATTATTAACATCTGTCTAAAACTTCATGAGTACCTTCATCTCTTCATAATCTACAACATTTTTATTTACCAAAATTCTCAGAATTGGGGCATTTTCATTTTGGAGATGCGCCAACTTTGGCTATTTAAGTAGGTACTAAAAACTCATGAATATCCATTTGTTTCCCACTTGAATCATAAGACAACTTGAACATAAAATAAATAAATAAAAAAAAATAAAAAAGTGGCCTACAAAAATATTGGACCATTTGGTGTGACTTCCACCCCCAACACCTCAAAATGACGAGGTTATTAAACAAATGGTTCAAACATTTTTTTGGCCATTTTAAATTATCTTACGATTCAAATAGAAATCAAATGAGTATTTATATGATGAAGCCATTCACGAAGTTTTAGCAAGATAAAAATATAATTTGAGAAAACTGGGTCTGTACCAAGGACTATAATATTATATACTTGGGAAATATTTGAAAATTGCAATGACTGCTTTTAGCAGTTCAGAAAATATAGATAACCACAATAGCTGGTTGTAAGATCACTAGTTTAGAGTAATACAAGATTCAATTATCAGTTAACAAAATTAAATGAAGCCTCTAGCAGTGGTTTCCAACCAGCGTTCCATGTATTAATTTATAAAGAAATTAAATGTTCAACAATCTAAACATTTCAATTAAACTAATTTTCAGATTTAGTGATGATAACATCATAAACAATGTATATGCAAAGTAAATAACACACACAAGCACAACAAAGATAAGAGTTGAAATTTGTATTTTATTTTCATCCTTTATACATATTACAAAATATAATTTGGTCTGTACATAGACCTACAGAGCTCCCAAACTCAATTTTTTTTTTCATAGTTCTATAAGTCTGTTATCTTTCGTCAGATTTCCTCGTTTTACAGCATCACTACTAATTAATCTGTATAATAAATATAAAATATTATCAAAAATAATATATGAAAATTAAAAATTGATTTTTTTTTTTTTTGGGAGGGCATTAGAAATTCTTGTTTTAGCTTCTAAAGACATTATTTATTTGTGTGTGTGTGTGTGTGTGTGTGTGTGTGTGTGTGTGTATATATATATATATATATATATATATATATATATATATATATATATAGTATATGTATAAATATATATATATACATATAATATATATATATATATATATATATATATACATATATATATATACACACACACGGTGTTTAAGGGTTAAGTGGCCAAACTGCAAAAATGAACTAAAGATCTCAAAACAAGAAAAAAATTTCCTCTAAAGAAATGCCCACAAACGCTTTGTTTAGGAGATATTCACACCTAAAGATTTTCATTGTTATGAATTATTTACGTTATATGAAAGAAATAAAAGAATATTTATTTGTTCTCACTACTTTATTAATTAAATGTAAACATTAACATTCATATTAAATGTTGTTCAAAGTGAAAGTATGTCCACAAATGCTTTGTTTAGGAAATGAATTAGATAGAATACTAATATGGTCTTTTATTCCTAACTTTATAAACACTATTGGCAACTAAGGATCGTTGAGTTGCAGTGGAGAGTATACAGTTACCAGAAGGCCTTGACAGGCGTGTTCAATTTAAAGGTAAGATAACTAACTGGGTGAAGGAAGATGAGCAGAAGGATGACCTTAAGTGTCAGGCGGATCAGCACCCAAATCTCTCTCAGTCTGCAGTGTAACGGATCAACCTTTACAGTCCGTAGGAATAGTAGCCACAAACGGAGGGATCAATATACTGACTTTGTGGGAGGATGAAATCCTACTGGAGGGATCAACCTCCTGACTTAGAATGTATGAATATAAGCGGACAGATCAGCATTCAGACCTTGTATAGAGAGACAGAGAGAGAATACGTTAAAGCTTAGAGGGCATAGTGAATAGGGGTAGGAGAGAAAGTGCCAAACGTTTGAAAAGAACAGTTCTTAATCTTAAATAAATGAACTATTCTTCTAAACAGATAACAACAGTTGTTTTTCATTAGTTCACCCGTTCGCCACTAGTCGATTCGCTGTTTATTCTGTTTTACGTTTCGTTTTTTCTAAATGAAACGATAACTTATAAACCGCTTTCCAATAAACGCATCAGTCCATCACAAGATTAATCCAAAAAAATAAAAAACGTTTAATGTGTAAAAAATAAATAAAATTTGCAAAATGATGTAAATTAAACGCGCACATTTTTAATATAAAGTATAAGAATAAAAATATATTTAATGTGACAATCATTACTAACGGTTAGTAGAGGAACTACCTATGATGCCATTAAACAAAGCATCCCCTTTGTTTTCTTGAGTTTATTAGGTGAATTGTGAACAGTTCAGTGCGATCAGTCAAATACTTTCTGGGGGCGGCCGAATGGGCTAAAGCGTGTGCACAGGCACCGCGAGTTGCCTGGTAACCAGATATATGATATATGAAGTTTTGAGAGATAAAAAAGGTACGAATTCGCGTCCCGGTGTCAGAGGGAATTTTAAATTCTCCGCCCTCACCCCCTGGCCTGGGAAAATCCCGTATAGCCTAAAAGGCGAGGTAGGGAAGAACAAAAAAAAAAATTCAAATATTTTCATTTATTTTAACATTATGAATATATATAGCATATAGTCGATAGTTATAATACCCAGAAACAGTACAAGGAGTGAAGTGTGGAATTATTTCAACAAGATAGACAGTGAAACAGACTCATGTAATATGTGCAAACAAATGGTGTCTTATAAAACCACCTTCTCCAATTTGAAGGGGCATATCAAAAGAAAGCATGTTGCTGATTTTGCGGCCATGGCATCAACGAATCTTCCACAAGAAACAATAACAGTAATTGTGAATGAAGAAATTAACAATAATGAAAATGAAAGAGTTCAAGATACAAATCCAACTGAATAATGAAAATGAAAGAGTTCAAGATACAAATCCAACTGAATAATGAAAATGAAAGAGTTCAAGATACAAATCCAACTGAAGTCTCTTAAGCACTTCTACAAATTTCAGCCAGGTACCTAGGAAACGCCAACAACTAATGGGTTCCTATACCTATTCTACTCACGTTTTTTGGCTGCCATTTCCCAATGGCAATGATTTTATATACATGAAATGTATATAAAAACATCCCTGAATTTGGGTGTAATGTTGTATCAAAATTTCAAAGCAATCAGTGAAGAATTTTAAGAAATTAATGGTTTGGAACAAACTAATATCTTTCCTTTTATTAATATACACTTTTTCTGAATTTTTTTTACTTACAACACTAAAGGTCATCAATAGCTACTAAACAAAAATATATATCAGCTGAGAAACAGAGCAGAAAAAGGAACTAAACTGTTTTACTTTTGCCTATTTAAATAATAATAATGAAAGACTCGGGGGTTCATAATTATCAAGGTTGCCGCTTATATTCAACTTTTCCATCTTCGAATTACAGTAGGTAATCGTATAAAACAACATCAGTTATAACTGTGTACAGGCTTTAATGATGAAAGCGCTATGTCATATGATTCAGAGAGCTTTTGTAAAGGGGACCCTACACGGTCAATCGGAATTGAACTAATGACGTTCCGAATTGTCGTGTAAGGTAGTGAATGAAGTACTGATGGTGCGCTGCGGATTTCCGAACATCCGGAAATCAAAGGTTCATTCACGAGAAGTGGAGGGGAGACCGACTAAACATATGGGCTGGGGAGACCAACCATACTGCTGGATAGGTTAGGTTACCTAGGCCTCACAACCATTATAAATTTCTGATATTCATTATATGTAAATAGTTACATAATTTTTCATATCCCTTGTTTATAATTTTAAACCATCTTCAACTAATTCTTTTAAATAGTCAAGTGGGCAACAAATTAAAAAAAAAAATGAGGAAACTTCATAATTTACTTTAGGAAAAAAACAACTTTATCGTTGTGTATATTTATCAGTTCTTTTCCCATTTTCCTCAACAAATTTATTATTTTCGCAATACCTTTCCTTAATTTTTGTAAGTAGTAGACTTATATTTTACTAACTTTTGTCAAAACGATTTTCTATGAGACTACTACTAGATAGGTTAGTTTACCTAGGTCTTGTTATTAAGTAAATTGTTTTTTATATCCCTAGTCAATATTATTATTAACCATTTTCAACTATTTTTTCTTTAAATAGTCAAGTAGACAATAAATTAAAGAGAAAAAAAAGTGGAAACTTCACAATTTACTTATAGAAAAAAAATCTTTTAACTGTTGTGTTTATTTGCCATTAATTTTTCAATTTTTCTTAACAAATTGATTATTTTTGCAATACTTTTCCTAGATTTTTGTATGTAGTTAACTTATATTTTTCTAACTTTGGTCTAAACGATTTTCAGGCACTAGGAAGTAATTATTATATCTCCATTTTTCTCTTGATGCCCAATATTATAAATGGCAATGTCCAAATAAGCATATCTATGCTGTTTCTTTGTTTACAACTGAGCTAAATTGGTATCAGCAACGATAAGTAATGATCAGTAATGATTGAACGTGTAAGGGTCTTCATGATCAAAGCGATCACGGACAATCTTGGAACTTCTTGTGACGTTCATTCATGAATTACCGTGTAGGGTCTGCTTAACATATTTTTGCAATGGATATAGTGACCACTGCTATAGCGATTGTTTGGATTTAACAACTCGATTTCTTAAGGTTCGTTAAGACATTTCACAAACTATGCGAAACACAATTATCTATTTCAACTAACGGTGGCATTATTGCTAAATCTAACTATTTACTTTATTTTTTTTGATAGCAACAGTAGATGGAAAATATCAAAAAACAAGAAACAAAATTACTAGCATAGTGAAATAACCATTTATATATTTGTTTTTCCCAAAGTTTATGAAATGTATAAACACACCTTTAGAATTTTGATATTAAAATCTTTGGGAAATCCTTCTCAAATGCATCCTACCCATACTCAAACCCCACAACATCCCTTCTCATCAGTTTGGATTCCCCTCAAAACATTCCACTGTCCAACAAGGCCTTCGTGTTGTGGACCATATATCCTCTGAACTTGAAAACAAGAAATATTGCACTGATGCCTTCCTGGACGTAGCGCAAGCTTTCGACGAGGTGTAGCACGATGGCTTTTCAAGCTCAAAACCCATTTACCAAAAATCCTTATACCTAGTCCTCAAATCCTATCTCTCAAATCGTTCCTTCGAAGTCTTTTGCAGCACCGAATTCTTCACTTACTATCCAGTTGAGACTGGTGTTCCACAAGGTAGTGTTTTGGGTCCAGTTCTCTACATCCTCTTCACTGCCAATATCCCTTCAAATCTTGATACCTTCCTAACTACATTTGCTGATGTTACTGCCATTCTATCCTTCCACTCAGATCCTCAAATAGCATCTCTAAACCTACAATCTCACCTCTCCTTAATTGAGCAGTGGTGCAACAACTGGCGCATCAAAATCAATGAAGCAAAATACAAACATATCACTTTCACACTGCAACGCAGATCCTGTCCGCCAATCCTTTTCAATTCAATACCACTTCCCTACTCAGATACAGTCCGTTACCCTGGCTTCCTTCTATACAAAGACTAACTTGGAACCCACATACAAGACTTAAAAGACAAAAACTTAACCAACGATATGGCCAGCTATATAGACTACTAAGCAGGATATTTCATTCTTCGATTGAAAATAAACTTTTAATCTATAAGACCATACTGAAACCTATCTGGACCTACGGACTTGAACTGTGGGGGAACTGCTAAACATTCGAATATCAAATTCGACAGCATCCAATCCTTCCAGTCCAAAGTACTTAGAACAATAGTCAATGACCCATATTATGTCACAAACAAGACCTTACACCGTGACCTTAACATCTCATTTGTCCTTGACATCATCCCATCCAGATTCTTCAACTTTCACCAGAATCCTATTCATCATCCAAATCCTCTAGCTCAATCCCTATCCAGCTCCCACCATCCCTACAATCTTCCTCGAAGGTTAAAACGGCAGTGGCCGTGAGGTCTATTGTAAATATGCTTTTGGAGTTCTGTCAATGGCCAGCTTCTCCACTCAAGTCCTGAGCATCTCTAGTGCCTTAATTCAGCCTACACTGGCTTCTAATACTAGTGATGCGGCTGGAAAAGTGGCACTGGGATCTCCTGAAATCCTGCTTTGCGTTCCACATGTGGGAGAAAATGCCTGGCTCGGAGATTCCTGGGCGAATGTATGTATTGTATATAGGTATGAATGTGTTTAGAAGTTTTTATTATATTTTGATTGTTTATTTTTTCTTATTTATTTACTTTTTTTTTTATCAGTATTATTTATTTACTTTTTTATATTTGTAGTTATTTCTCTATTATTTGTATATATTGTAAGAATGAGAACTTTTAGCCTTAATATTTATAGCCCTCCAACAGTGGCTGATTGTATTATTATTCAATTAAATTTAAAAAAAAAATTAAAAAAAATTGAGTTTTGAAAAAAAAAAAATTGGTTATAGTGACAGTCGGCTCACGACTAAGTTTATTCCTTTCAAGGTCATTATAAACTATATCCAATGTATATTTATTTCCAATTTAAAAAAAAATATTTATGTACTAAAAATTCTCCGACTTAAAACAATTTTTCCCTTTCTTCTCCCTGAATTATCCGTTTTGAAAATTCTGACTTTTCCCATTTTTCTAGGTCAGTCGCCACTCTGCATAATCACTCAGAGCTAACGAATTTTTTAATAACTTAAAGTAAACCAGCCTTTTAGGTTATTATATGAAAATAACTAATGTAACCAAAACTAAAGTTATAAAAAAAGAAATCAAAGGTGTTATTAAAAAAAAATATATATATAAAGCAGTATTTTAATATAAAATTTTAAAGTCATTTGATAACTATAATTTGTTTGATCATAAGTCATATTCTCAAATTTGTCTTTAATTCCAATAATTTACAGTTGAAGGTCCACCTTTCTCCAATGAATGAATTTTCAGAAATTTAAGAGAAAAAAACCACACATTTTAAAATAATATGTAAGTATAAATCAATATAAATATTTTATTGTTTGAATGTTTTGAATAAGTTCTTAAAAATGTCACATAGCTGCCTGTAATTTTTATTAAATAATGGATTAATAACTTACCACTTCTGGTGCTATTTTTGAGACAATGCTTGCGATAGGCTTGCCTGTTCTTCGATCGTAAGTCATTTCAAACTCAACTGGGTCACCAATTTTCAGATGTTCAATGTTTCCCCCAAATTGACTAAAGTGGAAAAACAGTCGAGCTTGCCTCTCACAGCACTGAATAAATCCATACGAGTGCTAAAATATAATTATGTATTGAAAAATAAACACAAGTATCTCTTCAATTATTATATTGTCATATATCTATAAAATAATCCATCCTTCATTTTTAGAAATGAAAAATGGTAAAAAACAATAAAGGATTGAAAAAAAATAATGCACAACACAACAAAGTGATCTAGACATATGTTGTGGGAAGTTAATAAATTAACCCTAGAAGTGAATTAACCCTATTACTTGGAAAACTATAAACAAGCAGAATTCTCATAAACTAGTGATCACTGAATACTATCCCATGGTTAAGATTATTAAAAAATAAATCAGTTTTGCAATGAAGCATGAAGAGATTGGTAACAGGGGCAGATAAAGGTGGCTGATCTGCAGTATATTCTTGGCAGAGCACTGATATTACAACTGTCTAATCCATTCCTTCAATCATGTCAGGAATACTAAAGGGTGGTTTCCCTTGTACTAGAGATCCTCCCAGAAAGCTAGAGTATATAAACAGCCACAGTGCAAAATGCTCTGGTCAATGTAGGTCTCACACATATTCAGAAATACAAACCAAAAATAAATTTATAGAAGTAGACTCTTATCTATGATAAGCTTGCAGGTGGGTAGAAGGGGAGAGAGATGCACAGTAGCAAAACATTTTCCCGCTGATCCCCCTATTTTCCCGCTCTTTTGTCTTCTCTACTCATTCATACGTACTTCAAAAATTTTGTTTACAAGCAGAAATTTCTTTTATAAATTTTTTATTATTATGTGAAGTAATCTGAATAGAGGGGAAATTATCTACTCCCAGACAAAAAATGTAATTTGATAATATATAAATTCATGAAAACAGAGGCTAGGAGTATTTATTTTTTTCTTAATTTCATTATTTAACCATCCTTGATATTGTTTTATTTTATTTATAAATGAAAATCCCTAAAATACAATACATGTTAAATTCCTACCTTTAATAAACATTTGTATAAAATTTTAAGAAAATGGAATAACGCCATAGATGGTTGCTATGGTGAAGAGGAGAGGTGAGGCTGGAGAGAGGTCTTGAGGAGGTGGAACTCAAGTAGGGGAAAGCTGCACGAGCTCTCTCCCCGTACAAACAAGCTTATCTTAGATACACTATACATTATTGACTTAAGAGTGCAATAGAAATTTAACTGAAAAACTCGTATAACTTCTGAAAATTACACTTAAAGAGTGATCATGAGATGTGATCGCCCATCACAGTAGAAAGCACTTGTAAAACAGTAGTACCAAATCCAGTGTAAAAAAAAAATATAATTAGTTTTAATACAGGTTTTTCTGAAGTGGCTGTTAGGGTTAAATATTAAGCAAAAAAAAGAAATATATATATATATATATATATATATATATATATATATATATATATATGAATATAATATACTGTGTTTGATAATTAAACAAACTATCTATTTTTGTATGTTGGATTATTGAGATTTGACTGCATCTCAATTTTTAAAAATTGTCGGACCCTTGAATGTTCTGTTGAAGACCAAAACTAGGAATGTATAACCAGCATAAAACAGTAAAAAGTAATTTTAACTGCTCCTATATCACCAAATCACTTGAATTTATGACATTAAAAAGTCAATATTAACTTTTCTTTCATTATCACAGAAAATATTATCAGAAAAAACAAGAAACATTGTTCATACTAATATCAAAAATAAGTTTTTTGTGTTGAGAAAGTTTTTCAAAAAACTTAAATGGTTTAATAAGATGAATTACTCTTGAAAGAAACTTAAAAATACGGTAAGGTAAGGATCTTGATTTCCCCATATGAGAAGAAATTACTTATATCAAAAATGTTTTTCAATTATTATTATTGGTAATATTTATTCCATTTCTTTTCTTCTTTTTTTTTTTAATTTTAACTTATCAGTAATATTAGCGCATCATAGTTGACACTAAATCAAATTAATGTTATGAATTATATCCAATTATTGAAGAATCTCAATTTCTATTAGCGTAAACATATTGAGAATACATAAACAAACAAAAACAGTTATCTTCAAATCATGTTTACATAATTAACTATAAAAACTAATAATAAACAATTAGGAAAAATCCCTTAAACTAAATTTAAAATATAAGGAAAAATATACGTAAGTAGGCCAATTTTGAATTGCTGACTGTCATTTCTTTGAAGCCACTTTTATTCTGAAAAGACATAAATGAGGTCACACACCCCAATCTCATTCAGTTAAGAGAGAGTATACAACACAAATAATTCATTCACAATGAACAAATTTAAATCAAAGTACTTTAACAGGTATAAAATTTCTCAATTGACTGTTGAAGAAGAAACAATCAAAATATATATAAGAAGATACATTCATAATATATTTTAATAAGTTGAAAATAATTACTTACTAATAATTTTTCAATGATTCCTGTTTCACGGGTGCCTTGATTATTTAAAGATGTATCACTATATGATGAATTTGTGGAGTTATTACTATAGCTATTATTACTAGGAGACTGAATAGAATCACCATTAAAGATATCATTACTTTCATTCCCGGTAAATGTCCCAATTGGAAACCTTAAAGAAATAAACACAAACAAACCACATAATTAACTACAGCAATCTATAAGAACACAAATATAATCCAACTACAATAAAAATAACTGTATTGTAGCTAGAAACTTAATCTTTAAAAATTTAATCCAAACAGAAACATGGAGTAAGACAATATTTTTCAATGTTTTTACATAAACAGTGCAACTGAAAATTCAACTATAAAATTTAGATTGATAATTATTACTTTTAAATTTTAAAACTCGATCATAGAAAATTGAGACTGTAGTACTTTAGATATGTTATTACTATATTAAATGTTGAGATCAAAAATTGAAATGGTTAATTAAACTACTAATACATTTATGTAAAACTATGTAACCAGGTTTAAATATGATTAGGACAATTTGAAAGATATTTTGAATTTAATAAAACATTAAGTCTTGAAACTAAGCTGCTATAACAACAAAGAAGGTAATATTTTGACTAAGATTTTAAAAGAATATACAGCTAATCTCTGGAAATTAAAATTAACCGTGAAAAGAAAAACTGAATAAACAAACTTATAAGTGACTTCGTAATCCCACAGCTAACTGAAAGATGAACCAGAAGAATAAAAATGTAAGAAATCAGCAGGTCATTAGTTAAAAATGAAATGTAAAATTCTTCCAACTTTATATCAAAGCAATTTTATTTCAAATTAGATGGACCTATCCTTCACAATAAAGTATTTTAAATCTTATAGTTTAAACAAAAAACTAAACAAAATACATCCCAAAAATAACCGTTTAAACAGGTTTAACCATAAATTTAAAGAACAACATAAATACCTTGCAGATGAACTGGAATTATTACTGTAGACATTATAGTTGGAAAAATTAGACTGAGAAGAAAAAAGATTATTGGCCATATCTTTCATTGCATCATTTTGATAGATATTACTAGAAGGATATCCAATTCCTGGGCTGCGATAACTTGAACTTGTTCCATTACTGTGAATGCTCATTGGCTTAAAGTCTATGATAGATGTGTCATTTAGTGTTGGCGGCTGGAAAGACTTCCACTGAGGATTGCTTGACATTATAATTTTTTTTTTCTTGCTCAAGACCTTAGCAATAAAAATGTCCGTTATTTTCTTTTAAGAGCGTATCGTATCACAGAATTATAGTCCTTATAATAGAAAGCCACTATTCCAATCTTATCAGAGTCTTATAAATCCTCTTTCTCAGCCCAAATCCGAGAACTAGGAAATAAATTCAATTTGTTTCTTCAGTTCACTTACAAATTAAAGTTAAAATATCACGCATGGAACTTTTACCACCATAAAATCAACTTGGAAATCGTGGTTAAATAAAAAACTAGAAACTAAATAGAGTTAATCCTCAGATGTCTTCAATGCTTGCTGGGTTCGATTGTGTTGTCTGTTTACAATACTTGTGGGTCGTTGCTTCAACTTAAATATTTTGCCTAATCTAAAAGTTACACAAGCTGAAACAGAAAAAAACAAATTATTCAAACAAACCAACATCATTAACACATAGATAATTAAATAGAAAATAAGCAGAACTTGACATAATGAAGAAAAATTCAAAATGTTTTAAGCTACATTAAAATGATACAGCTCAAGTCAACAATAAAATTTGAAAACCTAATTCTTACAAAATAGAAGTTGAGCATGCTCAAACTTGCTTTAACCTTTGAACTACAAAGGTCTCCATTCAAACACTTAATTCCAAATCAAAACTCATAATACTTAGTTTCCATTGAACTTTTAAAAAAGTTTTCACAAGAATAACAGAAATGAAAAGTTCGATAAAAGCCTTACTAATATACTTCTGACATTAAAATGTTATTGCAATTGGTGGTGGAAACTATGAAAAATACACACTGCTTTGGATTAAGGAGGACATTGATAATTTTGATTTTGCTTAAACAAAATACTAGCACTTTTGAAAATGTCAATTATTTAACATTTTGAGGTAACAGCATCAGTGTGGTCTAAATTAAATGCAAATTTCTATGCTAAAAACAACCAATAATTCAACAACTCCTGGAGATTAAAGTAAAGGAGAAAAATTTGTGTAATAAGTTGAAGAAAAAGTACAGTAATGGGTTTTATAAACGCAATACAACAATTTTGCGACTCCCAATAATTTATTTTACAAATAGTTTCAGAGAAAAACTGGTATAGGTATCCTATCAAAAGGTATTGGGTACTCAGTTATTAAAATTTTAAATGAAATCGGAATTGCGGATTTAGGAAGAAAAGTCAAACATCTGCTTATTTGTAATAAAGAATTTAATAAACAACTACTTTAAATGCAATATATTTTATTTCACGTACCACAACACAGCACAGCACTGACGACATACCGCCATATTGATGTCAACACAAGGTTCTAGAAGAGCAACTATCCATCTTCAAGCGCATTCGTCTCATCGTATATTTTCATTGTAACATTAAAGTAATCGAAAATAATGTTATAATTAGTTGAAAAATAATGATACAAAATGTAATTTTCGTAATTTCGTAATTTATTAAACTTGTTTTATTAAAAATTAATCAAAAACTTCCAATGTACACTATTAATACAGAAAAGCTTCATTTACCATTTTTTGATTGAACAAAATCCATCCCGTTAATTATTAATACTTTTATCGTCTTAAATTGAATTGTGAAATTGAGTTTTATAGAGAGGGGGGGGGTGATGGAGAAATGGCAGCAATTGAATCCATCATACAACATAATCCCATGTTAAAATAAAATAAAAAGACCTATTTTGTACACTTAAGTTTTAACTTCATCATTTATGACATTTATTTATTTATAGATATAGACCTTGCAGAACTATTCTAATTTAGTGTTATAGAATTCATCTTATGAAAAATTGTTATCTAAAAATACTACATGCGTGAAGATTTAGAACTATTAAACACTCCTTTGTTAATTGCATATTTGCAGCGCCGACCTTAGGGCCGGGCAATAGCCCAGGGACGCCTGTTGGGGTCAGCGATAATCAGAAGTGCTCGCCACTTGTTAAAAATTTAATTGATATATATACAAAAGATATTAAAAGAATTACGTTTATTCTAATAATAAAGCAACAGTACTACAGAAATAAGATTTAAATATTACGTCATGTCAAAATGAAACGAAAGACTTTGAACAAGCGACTGAAAATATTGTACTCACTTTTTTCCAAATCAAAATTGAAAATCAGCTAAAAACGTAATACATACACTTACCTACTCAAAATCATATGGACATACATCTCACAAATTTACGGTTCAGCAAAAAAGACGCACTTACAAAAAGTACTGACATTTCAATCCAAAATTTCATCACTTATAACAGGAGCTCTTTGGTACGTAAACAACAAAACTTTACATAACGACTTACGACAACCAACTATCGACTAACAAATACGTGATCTCTACTCCAGATTTCATCTTAAATTACACGGATATCACAACGGACTTATTAACGACATGGCTACAGCTGACATGCCTATCAGGAGACGACTAAAGAGGAGCTGGATGAGAGGTCTCTTTTCCTGAATCTCATTCTCAGTAAGAAATCAAGACCAGGAAGAAGTGCTGCTGGGTACTATTTTTTTCCTCATGCCTAAAATATCAATATTTCTTATTGGTTACAGCATATCTGCTTAGTGTCAAGCTCATGACTGGCGTGGACGGAAATATGAAGACAAAAAATATTACGTAATATAAAACAGCTTAAGAAATAAATTTAATTTTTGTAAAAGGAGGAGATGTCATTACCCGGGACGCTAAACGGGCCGACACTGCATATTTATGTATGCACTAAAAACTATTATGTTTAATGAGTACATTGAAATTCCACATGCATTGCTAGCCGGTAAGCCTGTGTGGATCTAATTTCAATTCTAATTTATACACAAATCAACCTAAAATTAAATAAAATAAAATCGGGTAGTTGTCCGAAATCTTATAACGAGCAATAACGATGAAGGCCTAAAGCTCAGGCCGATACATAAACCAAAATAAAATAAATAATTTTATGTGTACTTCGATACTGCAACTTCCTAACCAACTTATCTTACTTTAAAAAACATGGTCTTCGTAGTGACATATTGTTTGTTTGTTTTTAAGTTGGAGAAGGCCGAATTGGTTATGAAATAAATATTAGCCACTCAGCAGGCACGTCCACCGTCTACCAAGCATTTTCTACAAAGAGTGATCCCTGGTATATATTAACACTTTTAAGGAAGTGTCCACCTAGAGATGGACCATCCTCATGTCGTTGATTGTTCCTGTTGCCAAGAGGACAATCAGTTGTCGGCTGCAGGATACTGTTGGCATATACCATCGTATAAGACATTTTTTGTTGTTTAGTGACACAGTGCCAAACCAACTGCATAGTTGGTTACAGGGTGGAGATGCACACCTTTTTTTTCTTTTTCTTCTCCCTGCCTTGTCTCACAGGCAATACCCGTTGAGCAGCAGTGGTGTATTACGGAGTATGCCACTGTTGGCAGTATAGGTCTATTTAATTAACATTATTATTTATGAGGTGTAGACTTGTTTGTGTGTACAAATCCACACTTTTCATTTTCTCCATTCTTCCACCTGAAGCCGGTCCTCGAAGTAGCTGCAGCTTGTCTTTACATCCTTCTCTTCTCCCCAGATTAAAATGTGTAGAGCCTACAACATCTTTCCACCCGTATAAGAATTCCCTACAATGTGGGTAATTTTCTCTGTTCATTAGCTGGGGAAACATGCTCTCAGTCAGCGTATATATCCCCGTCTCTCTCCTGAGCTTAGTTCTTAGTGCCTCATAGGCAGTGCATTCGACGACCACATGTTCGGTGGTCTCCGGAATGTTGCAGTTGGGGTATAGAGGATCAATATTCTTCCCGTGCTTAGCGAGTTTCGCTCGGAAGACCCCATGTCCCGCGAGGAGTTGAAAAACCCAGTAATCCGGGAGGATCCATCTTGCATCTAATCTTGACTTGACCGTGGGGAAGTACTTTCTTAGGGTAGCCTCCTTCGGAGGCTATCCATACCTAACTATCCATCGCCGGTTCCATTGATCAATGTGATGTTGATTGATGTGTTCTCCCTGATAATTCTTTTCCATCTTCTTGGGTCTTCTTCAATTCTCATCTTTAGATGTTCCGGTATTTCCGCCGAACCTTCTCTTTTCATTTTAAAGAGGTAATAGTCTTCTCGCCGGAGATCTAGAGGCCCCCGCCCCTGCCAGTACTTGCACTGACTCATGAGATACCGTTCTATTGGTTCTAGTCACCTGAAGTAAAGCCAATCTCTGAATCGATGCTAGCCTACTCCTCTGTCGGTGCGAGAGGTTTAGGTTCCAGGGTGGGAACGCATATCTAAGAATACCCAAAACTACTCCTTTGGATATAGTCATTGTAACTGGGTATCTGAAACCCTAGAAAGGGCATCCGACACGACTGAGTCCATTTAGGGCCATTGTGACTCTAGTTCTAATATAGTCCAAGTGAGGAGTTACGTTAACTTTCGACCAATTTTTATGCCAAGGTAGGTGACAACCTCACTTGGACATACCCTTTATTTTTCTACTCAACATAATATGATGTGCCCTGTCAGTCGTGCTCCTCAAGAGAATAGCCTGGGTCTTTGTTGCAACCATCTTCAACTTTTTCCTCTCGCACCATCTTTCTACCAAACTGGCGCATCGTTCAGCTTCTGCTTTCAGACCGGCTATGCTGTTTGAGACCACTATGGCGGCCAAATCGTCAACATAGGCCGTGGCACGGAACCGCTCCTCTTCGAGCTTCTGCAGCAACTCATCAAAGGCTAGCTTCCACAAGGCAGGACCCAGAACAGATTCCTGCGGGCAGCCCCTCTCGACGTTGTCTTCAACTTCAAATAATCTGCCCCTAATTTTCAATGCCCGGTCCTTGAGGTAGCTTCTCACTAGGTCATACAGGTTACTGGGAGTTTCATAATTCTGGAGTTGCTGGGGAACACTCTGCCACCACACGCTGTCAGGATATGTCGAACAGGAGAAGCATAACATACCTCTTCGCTCTTTCTTCTACGTCATGGCGCACTCGCAATATGGCATCTGCGGTTCCCTTTCTTAGTGGATCCATATTGCCGTGGATGGCTCAATCTTGATAAGACTGGCTGAAGGATCAAGATCACCAGGTTTTCCAATACCTAGCTCATTACAGGAAGGAGACAAATAGGCCTGTATGATTTGGCAAGTTGCTTGTCCTTGTCTCTTCCTTTGTAGAAGAGTCTGACATCAGCAATTTTCCAGCTTCTTGGAAAGTATCCCCTATCTAGTGGAGAGTGGAGATGCATACCAAAAACTACTTTCTATAGACTTGATGGTTAATTGAGGTATCCCTGACATGTCTGAGAACTTCTGGGATTGATGACAACCCACTCTTTAACTAATCCAAATGTAACCTTACATTGAACTTCTAATCATATAACAAGGTAGCTGATAACTTCATTCTGAAATATCATTTCTTCTTGTATACTCAGAGTAATAGGATGTGCCCTCAAGAGAATAACTTGGATATTGGTCAGAAATTTCATCAGCTTTTTTTTCTTGAACAATGTTCTTATTAGGTCAAGCGAACTGTCAATTCAATACTGATTTCGAAGTCTTGTAGTTTTTTTTTTCCAATTACCTTGGCCAAGAATACAGTTTAGTTACAAAAGATAAATTATATTTCATATCTCATTTGTATGATGTCCTCTCATTTCAGCTTGAATTTAAAGATGTAGAAAATATTTGTTTCTCTTGAGCTTTTATTCTCTAGCATATTTTTCTTAAATACAATTACATAAGCGAGGAGTTTAAAAAACGTCAGGAGTTTAAAAAAAGATTGTTCTTTAGATCTCTGCAACAAAGATTTATTTTCAGGGCTGTCTGAACATTTCGAAATCCAGGAGTATATAGACCCACCAAGTAAATTGTTCATTGTGGTTGTCATTGGTGGACTTGATTGGTAATTCAATAGTTTCAGGAATCTATTCTAATAAAATTTTCTAAGGTTTTTTAGACGAAATGTTTTCTGGATGAGGGAGCACTGCATATTTATTCTCTCCAATCACTATATACCAAAACAGGTAAAGGTCAGGTAATGATTGATTTATACACGATTATTAACATTTTTCTGTCTAAGACATATTTGTTGGACCAAAATGATGATAATGCCACAGTATGGCCAATAAATGAAGTAACCGTTTGTTTCTCCAAGGATGCGAAATAGTAAGATATTGTGTGCTTGGTCTATGGTCAGAAAAAATATTTTGGTGAATGGCCGTAAGAGGACTCAATATTATGCACTAAAATCATAAACAAGTAGAAGAGAAGGACAACCTGGGAATAAAAAAGTTTAATTT